CAGGCGGGCGCGGCGAGCCGAGAGCTGCGCCGGCGGCAGCGCCGCGTCCTGCGCCAGGTTGCCTACCAGGGAGCCGCTGTGCGCCTCCTCGGCTACGGAGTAGCGGATGGGCTGCGAGCGAGCGAGCGGCAGGGAGAGCAACGCACACACACAAAGCACTTGCCTGGCGATCGCCATGGCCCTCTGGCTCCGGCTCCGGTGGCGGCTGCGGCGGCGGCGGCAGTGCCCTGTCTCCTTGTCGCGGATCTCTCTGGTAGTTCCCCCTTCGAAAGCGGTGGCGGTCGGGTGCCTTCCTTCTCCCTCTGTATTCCGGTCTGGTCGGCAATCCGGAGTGCGGCCGCTCTGGCCCAGGAGCGGATGGCAGAGAACGGGGCTCGGTGGCGCAGCCGCTGCTCCCTCGGCCCGGCTCGGCTGTTGGGAGCTGGGCTGAGCTTGGCTGTGCTGAGCTGGGCTGCGCTGGGTCGGTGTCGGCGGCGCCTTAGCCGAGACCACCACCCAGCGGTGCGCGCTGGGACTGCGCCCGCCGCCGCCCGCTGCCCGCGCTGCCGCTCGCCCCGGCCCACGGACACGCGCGCACACGAGCGGTGCTGCCGTTCGGTCGCGGATGCGCCCAGGGCAGGACGCGAGCACATCAAAATGGGGATGGAAGTGCCGGTAAAGATCGGGATGAGCCCTGTGGGGTCGCCGCTTGAGTACTATAAGGCAGGGATGGCTGGAACGTCCCTGGGTGTCTCTGCACACTCCTGCCCACAGCCCAAGAGAGCTGTGAGCGCTCGGCTCCCGGCAGGCGAGTCCCTGCCTTTCCAGAAATGTAGCAGTAAACGCGGCACAAGGCTTTTCCCAGCTCAGCGTGAGGCAGAGACTGATCCCAGAGGGACACTGCTGCCTTCTCTGAGCAAAGGAACCGGTCAGGAGCAGTGGTAGCACAGCAACAACAGCAGGGACATGGCACTGAACGCTCTCTCGGCTGCATCTCCAAACTCAAGACAAACGTACCAGCTAAACATTACCTCACTCAAAGGTCACGCTGACAAAAAAACCTCCCAGACTTTTAAAACACCTTGACATACTTTTCCAGAACGAATGATTCTGCCAAGATTTCTGTCTCCACTCAAGGAATTAGGGTGCTCTCTTTATTTCAATCTTACACATTATTGCAGTTTTTACACTCAGGGGTATCCTTGTTTACAATGTTACAGTCTATAACTTCAGCACAACACAGCGTGAGGCTTTCAGAATTTTCTGTGCATCACAGACGCCGTTCAAGCAGTCAGTTATGATAGATGGGGTGTTAGTTCTTCTTTAGGGGAATAGGCAAGTAAATGCTCAAACACAGTTCAGTGAGTGAGAGTAGAAAGGACAACAAGGAGAATGCAAATGTTCTCACACAAACCCAGAAAGTCATGCAGGGAAAGACTCCCATCACCAAAATTCACAATTAAAGATCAACACTGAGGACATCAAAGTCCATGTCCTTTTAACAAGTTCATTCTGACTGAGCCTTCAGAAAAATGCTCTTTGAAGGACACGTGGAGTTTTCATGCAATGCAACTCAAAGACAACAAATATGTTTTAACACCTCTCTACAGTCACTGTCTATGCCAACACTTTGTGCTGCTGCACTTCATGGAGGCAAAACACACAACCCCTCCTACGGGCCAAAGGAAGATCTTATTGTGCATTTTGCTACTCTACTCTGCAATAGAGAAAATGAGACGGATGTATTAAAAGGGTCAAAATATCCTCCTTGCCTGCTGGTTTGAACAGCCTACAAAGGAAAGGCTGAATGGGAACAAATCCCTAATTGACCAGGCAGCACTAGTGATGCATAGACAGACATAGTGACAAGAAAGCAAAGCACAGAGGGTACTCACATCTCAGCTGGACACATCCAGAACCCAGGAAAGAAAGTGAGGTGCTTACACAACACTATGATAATACTCACAACATCCTAATTGTTCTGAGCTGGGAAAAGGCTTTTATACATTTCAGCAAGAAGGAGATTTGTCTGCCCAACTGTGCCATTCCTTCACAGAAGAGAATCAAAGGTCTACTGTCTTGTGTGACAGCAAGAGAGACATGATCTTCACTAGGACTGCTAACCCCATTCTTAAAGCCCCTCAAAAGTGGCTGAATCAGGTCTGAAATCTACTACAACCTCAGTGAAAGAGCTTTGGTTCCCTTTATTCTGTTTCCTTGTTTGTTTTTACTGGAACACAAGCATTCCTTGATCTATAATTTGTGGGAATGGGTTATGCCAACTGCAAATACAGGTTTATTCTGGAGGAACCAGTGCCACCGGTTGCAGATTGCATCCCTTCTGACCACGAGGAAAGAAGTCACTGGCTCTGCTGACCCCTTGAAATCAAAGCCCACAGAGCCCATATATGTCAGACAGACACATTCTAAACACAGGAAAGGAAGAGCTTGGTGCTTACATGGCATTGTGGCACAACAGCCATAATTTCCTTCCTTTCCTGAGCTGGGAAAAGGTCACTGTGAGTTTCAAAAAGGAAATTTCTGTCTCATTTTCTGTGCCATACACTTACAGATCAGGTCCCCTTGAAGGGTCTACTGTCATGTCTGACAGCAAGAGAGGGAAGAGCGCAGGTGGGAGAGCTATCTGCATTCTTAAAGCCTCTTAGGAATGGCTGTAACAGACCTGAAACATATAAATGTCTGAATGAGAGAGTGCCCTTTATTCTGTTTGTTTCTTGGTATTTCGTGGAACAGGGGCATTCCCTGACTTACAATTTCTGGAAATCAGTTATGCCAATTGTAAAAACAGATTAATTTAGGAGGAACCATTCCCACAGGCTGCAGCCTGCATCCCGTCCGACCACGAGGCACAAAGCCTCTGGCTCTGCTGACCCTGTGCTAGTTAAAGGAAAGACGATTGAACTGTTCTGCAGACACAGGCCCAGAATTATCTGGGGTCACGTCCTCTGTGGGGACAGGGACACAAGGGAAAACCTGTTCCTCACCGGTGCTCCCGCCCACGGCACAGGGCTGTGGTGGCAGGCTGGGGACGAAGGGCTTGAGGAACCTGAACTCGCTGTTGCCCGAGCCCGTGGTGAGGCTGATCTCGTAGCAGTAGGGGCGGGGCAGGGTCCCTGCAGCAACTGCATCGGCCAGGCCGCTCGGCAGGTTGTCGGCCCCGGAAAGCACGTGGCCAGCCTTCAGCTGCTTTCTCTGGCACAGCCTGCGAGCCACGAAGGCTGCAGTGGAGACGAGGAAGAGCAGGGAGACGAAGACCAAGGAGATGATTAAATAGGTGGTGAGGGAGCCGGCGTCGTCGTCATCGGCGGCCGGGCTGGGGTGCGGTTGGCGCAGGTCGGAGAAGTCCTTGAGCAGGAGTGCGCTGAGAG